CCCTGCCCCCGCCCGCCCCCTCTCACTCTTGCTCTCGCTCTCTCTCCTCGATCCCTCTTGGCCGAGCAGATCCCTGTCATATACGATCTCACAGTCCACCGTTGCGCTGCCGCCGCCGCCGCCCGCCGTTCGGTTCATTCCATTTTCGCCCGGTGCGCAGCAGCACGGCGCGGACTAGCGCCAATTTCAAACAGCAGCTCGGCGTCGAGATCATTAATCTGACTGAGTTGTTGCGCTCTGGAGGGAGCGAGAGAGAGGGAGGGAGAGGGAGAGAGATTACACACAGCGATAGCGAGTGAGCGAGAAGCAGGGGAGAGGACGGAAAAACAAGGGGGCGGGGCGAAAGGCAAAAGGGTGAGTTTCCGCGGCGTTGCAGGAGAAAAATTGTGGTATCCAGTGACAAACGAGTCTGGATGGCCTCCGGTAATTGAGTGGAGCAAATTGGCCTCCTGGACCATAGGCGGGGCAGCGCAGCGCAGCGCGAGGACTTCCCCCTCCTCCTTCCTCGTCGTGAGGTGTAGAGATAAGAATAATGTATTAGCCTTCGGAAACACGGCGATGGATAGAGGCAGTCAAACACAACGCGCAACAGCAGCAGTAGCAGTACACCGTGCGAACAATGGGCAGTGAACGGAATGAGCGCGACGCGCACGCCCCTTGCGGCCCCCCAGCAGAGCCGCCCCCGTGATTCCATTCATTGCCGCAGTCAGCCCCGCCGCCGCCGCCGCCACCGCGCGCGCGCCACCACCACGCCCCCGCCGCCCAGGAAAACGGCTAAATATTATATGCGCGTGTGCGTGTGCGCTCACGAGGGAAATCCCGCGGCGGCGGCGCGGGGCTCGGGCGCACGCCAGGAAAGTTTTGCCTCCTTTTTCGGCCCGCCCCCGCGAGCGGCCCCCGGCGCCCGCGTGCCTGCACTCCAGTTTAGCGGCTGGCTCCTTTGTGCGCGCATTACCGCGTCCCGCACCCCGCCCCGCACCCCGCCACCTCCATGACCCTAATACGCCCCCGGGGCCCCTCCCTGGCGTGGCGGGACAGCGACAGCGCGCTTTTCCTTTTCCCCCTCTAGACTTCTTGTCAAAACGCATGTCCCTAATTCCCGTTGACAAAGTGCTTCTTAAAAATTCAATGCCCCTTCCACCTTCGCATCGTGATTTGCCGGGCGGGAAGCGGGAGGGACGCCACGATCCGCCATCCGGGGTGTAAACTCGGCAGGTGGACGACGACGTCAACCCCGCGACGGCCGCGAGCAAAGCATAACGCTAAATTTTGAATGCTCCGTAATTCGTCGATCCTTTCCTTTCCGACGTTCGCGGGCGACTGGTTGGTGGCGCACCCTCGCGCCCCAATGGAAGGACAAAAGGTGCGCCGCTGGGGCTTCGCTCAGCTATGATGGTTTTTGAGTCTTTCAAGGAAATTGAACGTTTGTTGTTGTTGTTTCCCTCTGACAGTATCGCGCGACGCAAATTAAATAAGACGAGCAGGAGCAGGGGGTGCGGGAAGGATGGCGCGGGAAAGATTTACACAGACACGCCAAAAAAGACCAATCTCTTTGCCGCCGCCCCCGCGCCGCCTTACCTTTTTATTTGCGGCCTACGCGCTGATTAGGACTGTCCTAACCTCTCTCGCAATCCCTCCCTCCCTCCTCCTCCCCGCGTCTCCGCCGCGGAGGAGTTGCTCTGCTCCTGATCAACGGTAATTACATAGGCCGCGACGAGGCTGAAAGAAGAAAAGGGAGCCCCTCGGCGAGGACTAGGCAGAGACACCAGACCGACATGTTTAAAAGGGAACATGAAAAGGCCGCCCTGGTCCGTCTGTCTGTTGTTCTGGCGCGCGGCGAGGAGCAGTAGCAGAGCCCCACGGCGGCGTGCCTGTCCGGTCCATTACACGAGTAGAGCCTTTGTTCCCCGGGGCGAGGCCCCAGAGGAGTGGACCCAGGACCCACCAGCACACTGGCCTGCATTTCCCTTTCACCCCCGAGTCGGGTCGGGGCTGGCTGGTGGCGCGGTTGGCCTCCCCGGGACCCCCTCCGAGGAACAGCGCGCGGCGCGCGGCACGCCGACCCGGGACCACCACCGGGGGCAGAGATATTGGTTTCAATTTTGTTTGAGTTTTGCCGGGGTCGCCCCACCGCGCCCCGCCCCGCCCACCAGCCGCCACCCTGCACCGCGCGCGCGCGCCCCCAGCGCAGTCGTGCATGAGATGCGTTGACTGGAAAGCAAACTCATATCAAGTGCTTATATTGCCCCTTTATTTTCTGCGGCATACGCGGGAAATATTGATCTTGTCTCGAGCGTGGCGTGGAAGGGTGGTGAGACGCGCAGAAGAATGAAAGCGGGTGGTATAGTGGGGGAAAAGTATGCCAAAACGCCTCTCGAAACTTCCATCGCATTCCGCTATTCAACGCTAACGACTCAAATGTGACGCACGGCCCGTGCAAGTGGCGGCGGCACCACATCCGATGCCGTACGCCCGCGGGGTCGCCGGGGCGCGAGGCGGGATGCGTGTCTCCCCGGGGCATATTCACTCAAAGCCCGGCCATAAAGCAGAGACGGAGATTTCAATGACTGCTTCTCCTCTCTCTGGGGCTGCGCGACCGACCCTCCTCCCTCTGCGGGAGGCGTGAGCGGCGTGAGACTCGATCGCGGCGCGATGATGCGGAAGGGGGGCGATAAAAGTGCAGTCCGATGTCCCGCCGCCGTCTCCCCCGCGCCCGCGCCCGCGCCGAGGCCGAGGGCCGAGGTGCGCGCGAGTGAGCGCCACCGGAGCGGGAGATCAAAGAGCCGATCCAACTTCCTGATGCCAATCGGTCTGCCCGTCTCGACTCGACGGCCGTCAGGAGGACCGCGAGGCGACGGGCGGTGATCCACAAGCGTGCACTACCGCGACCTGGAGAGATACAATTCTGACTCGGCGAGGGCGAGCTGCGGGCTCGGACGCTAGGAATCTATCTCACTCTTACCCGCGCACCCGGTTAACCGGGGTACCGACCCGCCCGGGTAAGACGTGAGACCCGTTCGTTTACCCGGTTCCTACCCGTGTATCCGCGGATCCGGGTTTGGAGAGCCCTAGTTCGGACGCCGTCAGGCAAACTAAGTAAGTCTCTCGCCGACTTAAGTAGTAGTCAACAGTGATTTCCAGGCCCAAAATATGGAATGGGCCAATAACGACATTGAACCTAACCTAACCTGTCGACCTGTCGCTCACCTTTGCTGCGACACGCCACGCCGTGGCCGCCGCCTTCTTGTTTGTTTTCCTTCCCGGTCAACCCGTCCAGGCGAAGTTCCACGTGTTTCTTCGTTATAGTGAGGTTCCCCGTCATCGCTGCAGACAAGTTCAGAGACGGTTCTCACAAGTTCGCGAAACGAGCAGAGCACAAGGATCTTTTTAAAAACAGTGAAGTGAAACTTTGGTGCGCTTTGGTGGTGCCACACTGAGCGTCGAGGGTACATCATTTTCCACTGTGGCTGCCAGTCGTGGAGGTTAGGAGGACCCTTGGTGAGTTAAATAATAACTAACTGTAATGATTGATCATACCTGTGCTACATCTTCCTAACGCCCCATTTGAAGATGAATTGAAGAGTTAATTATTGCATGGTCGAAACTTTATTGCACGTTTGCACATTATCGCACATCATACTGCTAGGACTGTGATGCAACTGGCAATGGGGTTCGCGCCGCGCTGCACTCGTCACCATCATCCTTTCTTCTTCTTTACCAGGCGGTCTGCTCCCAGGCGTCTTATTTGTAAAATACCTCATTCCGTCCCCATTCCCACTCACTCCCCACTCGGAGTGATAATTATTGTAGGTCTAACAATATGTTGATCTATATAAATAGTTTGTCGAGTTTGTTTTCTGTGGTTTTCCGTTAGTCCTCGTACATATTTGAGACTCTTGTTTCTTTAATCCTTTATTTTGTATTTTTATTGTTTTATCCCATACTCCAAATTGCGTTTTCCCCGACGAATAAGACGTTTGATGCGGCCTGGTTTGCTTTTCGTGTTATTTTCTTTTTCCCTTTCCTCAGAGGAATGTATCGCGTCCATTCTAGACTTGGCACTGCGTCACGCGCCCCTCCCCCCGCTGCATCTGCCCTTGTAACAGAAAGGGAATGACTCCGTCAGCGCGTGCGTGTGCGTGCGTGTGTGAGAGACGGAACGACCCCGGCGTCGTCCCGAGCGCCAATCTTTTATTCTTCCTGCCCTCATTTCGCTGCTTCATTCAGGAAGACAGTTTTATAAATTCTTGTTGCAGTGACAACAGGCTGCGTATCACATGTGTCTTTTGGTGGGAGAAGGGAAACGCCTGCGGGGCGAACCGGGAGGGGATGGGGAGGGGAAAGGGTGGGACAGGGAGGAGAAAAAGAGTGGAGGGGATGAGGGGAATATGTGTGTCGCCCTGATGCGTGTCAATTGTAAACAATGACTCCCCCGGCCCCGTTCAGCTCGACTCGACAGAGCAGGGTCTCGGGGCGCCTCTGGGCTGGGGGGCTTCGGAGTCGTCTTGCTCATCCTAGGAATCCTCAGAGATGAAATGCGAGACTTTCGAAACCACTTTGCCCGGGCGTGCACCTGCTGCGGTGCGGGCAGAAGGCGTGAAGTCGGGTCATTCCCTCCTATCTCGATTGTGAGTTTGATGCAACAAAGTCTGCCTAAAAAAAAGGAAAAGAGGGGGGCGGCGGGGGAACTCGGGAGACGCGCGCTTGCTCTCTTCTTGTAATTTAAAAATGCGCCTTGCCAACGCATCATCAAGTTTTACGATACGACTTGAGAACGGAATTATGACGACCGTTTGACAAGGCTCACTGGCCTGCGGGCCGGGGCGGGCCGGGGGGAGGGGGGAGGGGGGCGTTTGGCTCCTCCGGACGCAGATCTGTTCCCTCGCGGCCGCCGCCGCCACCATCCACCGGAATTCCGGAGAATTATTATCCCTGGGAGTAGAACAAGATCGTCCTTCGAGAAGCAGGCGTGTCGCGGTGAGGATAGCTCCCGCCCCCCCCCCTCCCTTCCCCCTACGTCAGTGCCGTAAAC